CAGATGCGGATTGGAGGAGTAAGGGAGGCGGAGGCAGATAAGGATGCAGGGACAGAGGAGGATAAGTTATTGATGGCTAGCTTAGAGGTAGAACAGCTGAAGAAGGAATAGGATCTCTAAGTCAGCACTAGTTGTGATTTCCTCGATGACAATGAAGACAATTGTCGAGATAGTTTTGGTAAGACGAGAAGACGTCGTCTTTCTTGTGTAAAGGCACACAGAGAAACAGACACCATGCTCTACATGTACTGAGTGTGGAAAAACCAAGAGCTGAACAATAGGATTGCCAAATGCATTATTGGTAGTAGATGAAAAGGGGAATGAAAAAATTGAGAAGAGTTGATGGATGAGCTTGAAGTGGATTGGCGAATTTCGTGCATATTATGAGCAACTAAGGAGCAATTGAAACATTATTTTGAGTACCATTTAGACGTGCTGTTATTTATAGCTTTATTGATAAATGAATTAACTGATTAACTAGTCGATCAATAATGGTCGATAATGTTTTAGAACATGGATGGCACCAGATGTGAAATTGGTTGTTGTTATTGGTTGGTTGTTATATGTGTGGTATTTGGAATGGCATTTGTGGGCCAAGGTAATCAACCAAAATAAAATGATAAAAGCGGCAAAAACTATTAGCGGTCAGTAAGTTGCAAATTGCTGCATTTGTCACTTTTACAATCACGGACACTACAGCTACACCAACGCTGCATTCTGCGTAACATTAGTCTCCTTGGTGGCGGAGTATGCCCGCCCCTACCCACAAATGGCCTGTGGCTTGTCCTCCTCCACCGATGAACACTGTCAACTGACCAGCGAGAATACGCTATAGACCCTGACGAGACCACCTTGATCATGTCGCGATGGAGCTTACTCATTTTCACAAGATGCGACAATGTCGGCTAGCCCAATCTCAAATGAATTATCATCCATCAACTGCCTATGGATGAATTTCGAGCCAAATTTGCTTTGCCTGTCCTCACCAAAGCTTTCGACAAGATGCAAGACATATCAAGGCGTTTATTCACTTGCAAGTGTAGCAGGGACTAAAACTAACAAGGACTGATGTGCAAGCACAAAGGAACGTGAGATAAGAGACATCTGGAAGCTGTAAGTAGAGCTGACAGCAGGTACTATGCGTCAATCAGCAAGTGTCTACGTTACTATACAAACAAAAGTGAAGTAAAAAGGAGAAGAAAAAAGTGATCATGAAAATTGGTCCAGGGTGACAATATTTGATGAAAGAGGAATGTGAAGTCGGTGAGTAGGACCTCAGTGTGCAGGCGGGACGTGGCAATCGAGACGCTGCCCATGCAATGAGAGTGAAAGTGGCTGGCAATAGGTGCAATGACGTGCGGCGAAGGCAACTACAATTGCACTGACGCGTCACAAGCCGCTGAGTGTGCCCCCATGACACACAACCACGACCACATGACTACCACTGTCTACATATCTGCTGTCCGCTGCGCCATCAGAGAGTGCTTCCCCACCGCATTCACTCGATGATGAC